TCTTTTGACTTGAGGTCATGACGCAATTCATATATAGAATGATTTACTTACACCTAATCCAATGCTTACGCCCTTATGGGTAGATATGGACTTGTGTTGGGTAGATCACGATCAAGGTTTTAAATAGCGGGCTAAAACGTTTATGACACTGTAGCTATAGCGGAGATTTAGCGGGATTTAGCGGCTAAATTGCACATGAATACAAATAGCGGCACGCTGCCAAAAAAAGCTATTTCTCAAATAGCGGCAACTTTAGCGAGCTATTTATTTACTTGATCACGATATACATGGAATTGGTAGTTGAACCAAGATAGGATTCATTCCTTGAATATAGCTTCGAGAGAACACTCTTTTTCTCTATACTGGGTTGATAAAGTCATTGGTCAATGCACGTGATTATATTTGAAACGGTGTTCAAATATAATTGATAAAATCAACCAGTAAGATGAGATAAAATAATTTAGTTGTTTGGATAGACACACGTTCAAATCCTAAGCTTAATCGAGTGGTTTGTGAATCAAGGGACCATATCACTATTGAGTTTCACACTAAAGGTTTGTTTGCTTTGTCCATGTAAACGTACTTCATATTTTGAGTTCGTTCTTCGACGCAGTCTAGGAGTTTCGTAAGGATCATAAATTAAATTTATGTCAATATATGAAATCCTATAGGGTCACACAATATACAATCAGTTTTCCGATTAAGAGTGAATCGAGGGTGTTAAATATTCAATTAGATTGGAATGTTTATTTATGAGTAATGAGATTATTTTTTATTTGATGGAAATTATTTAATTAAGTTACAGTGGATTTATACTTAATTAATAATGATATAATATTCTATTTTATAGAAAATATTTAATTAAGTTAAATTAGATTTATACTTAATTAAATTATTACTTGGATTAGGTCCAATTACCTATTGGGCTTTAGGGTCTCCTAAGACCCATATGATTAGGTTTGACCTAATTATAAATAGTTCAATATCTCATTGTAGTCTCCAACGATCATTACATGAAAGAAGAAGAGAGAAAAGAGATACATCGTAAAAACACAAAACATTCTTTAGTTTTCTGGATCGAAGATTCCTAACTTCTTCACCGGAAGGGATTCATTGGCGTTAGATCGCGCATCGGTAAACTGGATTGCGTGGATACCATAGTCGAGGACAAACAACGAATAACTGTAAGTTTTAGTTGATCATTCACGCGTTCCAGAATCATATCAAATAGCTATAGCCGGATCTTCGTTGTTGGTAAGAAAATTTTAAAATTCCGTGGCTCGTATACTGGATTCGTACATCTAAAATCCAACAATGGAAACAAAGGCGGAGGACGAAAATACACTCTTGGACCGAGCTATTCAAAGGGGACTAGATGATATGGGATACTATACCCAAGTGAGTAAACCGGTCGAGTAGGTCGAGCAAGACACCTGGTTGAACGAATCATAACAGAGTGGTCGTGGTCGAACATCACAAGACTAAGAGCTTCTGATCTGGAAGAAAACCTAAAGGTGATTTTGGTACGTGGAGAACAGGTCGAGCTAGGACCCTTGGATAAACTGGTCGAAACTCGGCATGTAGCACAAATGGTCGTCTAATCGACCAAAGCCCAGACTCAAAGCAGTCAACGCTTCATCTCAAATCGACATAGAGGTGGTCGAGAACTCGAGGATAAGGAATCTCAAAGAATTTAAGCCCCACATGGGCAAAACCACGTGGCACCACCTCATTGGTACACGCCTCATAGTATTATCTGACGCATTCTGATAGATGAACCGTACTATCAGTCAGCTCATCACATCCGACAGCCTTCTAGAAACAAGTACCTCACCCCCTATATGTAGGGGTGAGATATGCATTTTCAGTCATTACGTTCATTTTTCACTATACATTCTTGAGAGTTCATCTTCCACATACTCATTTAAGCGTTGGAGGCTCTTCACCGGAAAACTCCTCCGATGTGAGAGTTTTTGCAGGTTCAAGGCGTTCAACCAGCGAAGGAGCACGCGAGCAAGACAATTTCCAGCCAGTCGAGGGCCTTGACGTACCAAGTATTATAGTACCAATTACGTAATTAACAATGGGTCATTTTGGCACTCAAGTTTTAATAGCATTCTACTTTGTAATATAAAAAACAAAACTCCATTGTCCAAGTCAAAACTACACAATTTGGCCCAAAAAAATGAAAAACAAATAAAAAATAAGAAATAAAAAGTAAACAATGCATATGGTAATTTGGTTTTAAAGGCAATTTTTTATGTTAGATCTTAGATGTTTGTGAGCGATTACGTAAACTTAATTGATCGATATGTTTGTTATAATGCAATCAAATACTCTATGATAATTTGGTTTAAGTGAATAATTGAATCGGTGTGTTTGTTTTACTCGAAATTTTGAAATTTATATGTTGGTTGTTTGTTTTAAATTTTAATCGAATCAATACTCTTTGGTTAAGTTAATTTGTTTGTCCCGTTTTGTCCCGGTCCCAAATGATACCGGTCCATTTGGGACGGTGTCTCGCCCCGGGGCATTCCCAAATTGATTCATAAAAGTGAGACAAGTACCGTGACAATTCAAATGACCGTTCGAGACCGCGTCCACCCCTACTTTAACTTGTAACTGTAAATTTTTTTTCTTTTTTTTTTTTGGAAACGATAAATTAAAGAAAAAAAAAACACAAAAATTTATTACACAGCTCATGATATGTGTAATAAACTGAAAGCCCAAACAATTGAATCAATCAGCTACTAAACTGAAACTAACTGAAACTAGTGGAGGACTACTCTTTTTTTTTTCTCAAACGGATAAATTTTTATTGCTCAGAATCAGAACAACTGTTTTACAAGCGGACACTTCAACTGAAGCAAAACCCAAAAGGGGGATGTGAATATGCCATTCCATCCCCTACTTAAACAAAACCTATACAAAATAAGCCAGCTAACCATACTAGAATAAATATTTACAACCAAAAGAGAGGGCAAAACATTTACAACTCCACACTAAACCACCATAGGCTCTGAGACTGCCATCTAATTGTGTGCAGCAATTCTTGCATCCAAGACAAGAAGGAGCACTGACAATAACAAGATTGACCTACCATTCTTCTTATCCTGTATGCTCAATTCTGCAAAGAATTCAAGGCTTGTGCATCTAAAAATTCCTGCCAGTCCTGAAGTGCTTTATCTGCAATCTCTTTGTCCTCCACCCATTGCTTCTTGAATAGCCACATATTGCGGGTCTTCCACAGCCACCAAAGGATGTAGGTTGTTAATTCTATTCTGTCCTTCAAGCAGCTGCCCTTTTCAATCAAACAAACCTCTCTCCACCACAATTGAAATGAGTGTTCCATTCTCTTTAGACCTTCCCATTGTACTCCAGCCAGTTTCCACACCCTTTGAGCTCTGCTACAGTTGAAGAAAATGTGTTCAAGGTCTTCATCCATTTCCCCACATGCACTACAAATACTGTCTTCAAGCATTCCTCTTCTTCTGATCTGGTCTTTAGTAGCCAAGAACTTGTGCCAACATCTCCACAGAAACATCTTAATTTTATTTTTGACATTGAGACTCCAGGTTTTCCTCCACATCTTCTTCATAATTTTAAAATTTTTACTAGAGCATGGGATTCCAGTTTTATTCTCTATCTTCTCTTCTAGCAGCTTGTATGCAGATTTGACTGTAAATTTGCCATTAGAATTAGGGTACCACACTGCTCTATCTTTAGACCCTCTTTTGGGAGAGGGAAGCTGCAGAATCTGTCTAGCATCAGCAGGGTGAAATGTTTGCTCTATTAGTTCTCTGTCCCATCCCTCACCCTCCTTTTTCTGTAGCTCATTAACTGTTTTAAGGATTCCTCTATCTCTTTCAAACAAGTACAACGGTTTAAAGGAAGGGTTTTTAGGTAACCAAGGAGACTCCCAAATGGATATGGTACACCCATCCCCCACTTTATACATCAACCCCAATTTAAGAACATGCCTGACACTCAACCAGGACTTCCACAACCAAGAATCTGAGTTCCTAGGACAAACCTCCATCAGATTTTGGTTGTGGAAGTATCTACCCTTCAGAACCTTACTGATCAAAAGGTTTGGTTTGGTAATAATTCTCCAAAGCTGTTTCACAAGCAATGCCTCATTGAATAAGGTAAGATTTTTGAATCCGAACCCCCCACATTCCTTTGACTTAGTGAGATTTTCCCAACTGCCCCAATGAATCTTCTTTTTTCCCCCCTCATTTGATCCTCACCAAAAATCAGCAACAGATCTACAAATATCCTGACACACCCCTTTAGGAAGTTTAAAACAACACATAACATAAGTGGGTAAGGCATTGAGCACAGTTTTAATTAAAATATCCCTCCCAGCTTCACTAAGAAAGTGATTTTTCCAATTTGTGACTCTAGAAATAACTCTCTCTGACACAAATCTGAAAGTTTCAATTTTGGACCTACCAATACCTAATGGAAGCCCTAAGTAATTAGAAGACTTAACTACTACAATCCCATCAAAATAATAACAGATCTCATCTTTAACCTCATCCAGTGCATTTTTGGAGAAAAGGATAGAAGATTTACTGAGGTTAATGATTTGACCAGAACCATGTACAACTGCTACTAGGCATCGTAGAGCGCAAACCAAACTAAGACACCAAAACACAAAAAATACGGAAAGTCTGAAAATTAAGTACGGAAACAGATAATGGAACAGACCAATAAAGATGAATGATTTAAAAGAATAACTTATTACACAGCTCATGATATGCAAGCTCGACAAATAATTACATTTCCCAATTATTTATTTCCTCCTCTTTCCCATTTACACAGACCCCTGCCCAATTATATCAACCAAAAAAAAAATAAAAAATAATTAGAACGATAATAATAATTATAACAGTATTTGGTCTTGTTCCATCTCATTATAGCTACATTACAAAAGAATTATATTACAATAAAGAATTATGCAATTTTATGTCCAAAATGAGAACCTTGATTTTGCTTTAAATTGATTCCAGCGTAAAGAATGGTGCACCAGTGATGCTCCTTGATCTCACAATCTTCTTCACCAAAATTCTCCATGTTATATCTTCCTTCTTGCTCTGTTGCCTTCTCCTCTGCCTAAATTTCCTGCAGTGAACGGAGTTGCATCGGTTACCGAGACACATTCGATTTTACAAGAATTGTGGATCCTTTTTGTAAATTACCTGCACAAGGGCACTCTACAGGCATCCGAGTCGACACAAAGCCGAGAATGCAAATCGAGAATCTGCCACATCCGCTTGCAGTGCACGCACCCTCCCTGACGCCTCATCATACACTCGGCAAAATGGCGGATGAGCCTCTCGAGCCCCTTGCAGGCCGCGTATGCGCACGGGCCGTGACTCTCCCTCGGGCTCTTATCGTGGGGCCCGATCGTTCGGCACCCATCCCTACATATATGCACCAGTGCCTCCATTGCCTCGTACAGCTGCACGTATATCTTCCTCTCCTCTCTCTTCCTCATCCTTTCCTTCTTCGTCTAAAAAAAAAAAGAGAAAAAATCAAGTATTGCATAAGTTACATGCTATTTTTTCAATGAAACTCATTTTGTGACAATCTCATTATGTTAAGCTAAATTTAAAGTATTTAAAATATTAAATACGCGACGGGGTATTGTAAGGTGCAGAGTGGTCTTGCTGCCACGATCCGTTGAGATTCAGCCTTTTGTCGATTCATTATTTAAAAACAAAAAAAAAGCTAAATTTAAAGTACTTACAACATCCTCGTCAATGATGGAGGCGCGGATTTCTCGGTCAAGAATGGGGTGACTAGATTTCATGTCCCTCCACCCGTTGGTGGCCGACACAGCCTTGAAGTTGGTGAGGATGAAGCGGTGGCAGACGAAGCTGAGTCGAGGGGCATCGCACAGCAAAGCCAGCTGGAATACGTCGACTGCATTTTCCGTGGTCAGGAACCTGTGCTCGAGCCAGCACTCACACACTCGCTTCAGCTGTGGGACCACATATGCATGAGCCAGCACCAAAAGGGGCAGCGCGAAGTTTCTCATGCTTTCCTCTTCATAGCTGTAAAATGAAGAAAATTCAGAATCGGGCGACGTTCATCCTACTTTCTTTTGAAGACTAATAAAGTCTCCTTTATAGTTTCATGTGTCATGTCATATGCATTTTCATCTTGTGATAATATGAATATTTGAGACAAATAATCTAAAAACAGAATTAAAAGATGCTACTTCTCTTGGCTCTTGTTTGAAATTGAACCACACTTTGAAGCCAACAGTGTACTCGAAGGATGCTAGTAATAGTAATCAAGTGCTGAACAAATCTACTTTGCATATTAAGCCAGTCAGGTAACAGAGGAAAATAGTTATGCCATGAACAAATGTGTTAGTTACCTTGAGGAATACAAGAATCTGATGAAAACTCGAACCGCCTCAGTTGGAACTCCACCAATCGAGATTGATTTCAAACGGTTACGACCCTGTCCTTTAGATTTGTTCAACATGGACTTCAAAACTGGCGAAACAACACCCTGCAATCAGGAAAATGAGAGACATGGCAAGATTTAGAACAAATTAGTCAGTTTCTTTTTTTTTTTT